TCTAAACCCAACACCACTGTACTCATTTGGAGATCAGGTGCCGGCTTCACAGAGAGAGACTTCGACTACGGCTTAGATATAGTAGAGAGTCAGACTTCAGATAGATTTTACTGGGGGAATCAGCGGAGAATGTAGAAACAAGAAGAAATGTTTAATTTGGAGAAAGATTGCTACGACAGTTAACGGCGTTAATCCGACCGTTGAGCGGAGCGTTAAAGACGTACAGAAAAGATACAAAAACATGGTACAAGATGCCAAAAAAGAAATATCCAAAAACAGGAGGAGGACCCCAAGTGATGAATATATACACGAATCCGACAAGCGTTCTGTGTAGGCTGCCATCTTGTGGCGACGCCATTACTGAGCTGTTACCGGTATGTAAACAAACATCCGTGATAACGCACCCTCGATGCCAGCTACCGCCAGGCAGAATGACTTGTTGGGTTGATGATGTTAGACAGTGGCCTCCAGTCACAGATGAAGGTACAAACGATCTTACAGATTATTTATGATAATAGCTTGGCAAGCTAGCTAGGCTAACGTTAGCTAACGAGGAAACTATAAAAAGATCTGTCCATTTGGCAACAATAAATAATAAAGTAAACCTAACTGGACTCTATATGAGTTCAGTGATTCAGGTCAAATGATTGTGAAATAATGATTATGTTATAACATAATCAACACCATCAAATCACCTTTTCTATTTGTTCATCTGGCTGTTATAACTCACGTACAGCAGCCAAACAAAATCTAAAGTTAATGATTTAAGGGTCAAGAGCCCAACTAAAGCAAACACTGATCTCCATAATGGTGACTTAAAAAATAAGTTTTTCTCCTTCAGTGATTCTGCTTGTTAACATCAGGTGTCTTCAATATTGGTAATTAAAAAAAAAAATCTTAATTCATCTTTGACGTCAGTCTCTTGTTCCAATATTTTTGTTTAAAAAACGAGTAAATTTTACTCATTTTCAATTCAATTCAATTCAAATTTATTTGTATAGCGCTTTTCACAATACATATTGTTTCAAAGCAGCTTTACAGAAAGTGCATTTCAGAAATGTACATAGAATAATATAGTTAGTTAATCATCATGTATTAATTTAGGGCATAACATATCGCCGGCGTTGAGTCGTCTCTTCACAGGCGTCGAGTCGTCTCTTCATAGGCGTCGAGTCGTCTCTTCACAGGCGTCGAGTCGTCTCTTCACAGGCGTCGAGTCGTCTCATCGCAGGTGTTGGAGCGTCTGAAGTCTCCGTGAGAGGCTGGATACAAACTGGAGCTGACGAACGCTATTTACCTCGGGACTAGCGTCCCGAGATAACAGCAGAAAAGCAGATGGGAAATAATTAGCGTAGCTGCTGTTCGTAATATTAATGCAGTCGATCAGATTCAACAGTGGTATAAAAGGTAAGCATTATGTGAATGCTTGGCTGAAGAGATGCGTCTTTAATCTAGTTTTGAACTGGGAGAGCGAGTCTGAGTCTCGAACAATATCAGGAAGGCTATTCCAGAGTTTCGGAGCTAAATGTGAGAACGCCCTCCCTCCTTTAGTGGACTTAGATATCCTAGGAATGACCAGAAGCCTCGAATTTCGGGATCTTAAAGAACGCGATGGATTGTAGGGCGATAGAAGGTCCATTAAATACACAGGAGCTAAACCATTTAGGGCTTTATAGGTCAGTAGTAGTACTTTGTAATTGATACGGAACTTAATAGGTAACCAGTGCAGAGATGATAGAATCGGTGTTATATGATCATATTTTCTTGACCTAGTAAGAACTCTAGCGGCTGCATTTTGGACTAACTGTAGCTTGTTTATTGAAGATGCAGGACAACCAGCTAATAAAGCATTACAATAATCTAGTCTCGAGGTCATGAATGCATGAACTAACTTTTCTGCATCAGAAACAGATAGCATGTTACGTAATTTAGCAATGTTTCTAAGGTGGAAAAAGGCTGTTCTTGTAACATACGAAATATGATTTTCGAAAGACAAGTTGCGGTCTAGTATAACACCCAGGTCTTTTACTGTAGTCGATAAGGTAACAGGACATCCTTCTATATTAAAGTTGTATTGTAAGAGATTTTGTGGGTAGTTTTTTGGACCAATAAGTAATACCTCAGTTTTATCTGGATTTAGTAGCAGGAAATTACACGTCATCCAGCATTTTATATCTTTAAGACATTCTGTCAATTTAGATAAGTTAGTGTATTCATCTGGTCGTGATGAAATATATAATTGAGTGTCATCAGCATAGCAGTGGAAATTAATTCCATGTTTTCTTATAATATTACCAAGTGGCAGCATATATATTGAGAATAGCAGAGGGCCTAACACCGATCCTTGCGGCACTCCATAGTCTACTGACGTTATCTTCGATTTTTCCCCATTTAAACAGACAAAATGGTAACGGTCCGATAAGTACGATCTGAACCAGCTTAATGCCTGTCCCTGAACACCAGTGTAGTTTTGTAGTCGATCCAGGAGTATTTTATGATCTATAGTGTCGAACGCAGCGCTAAGATCGAGTAGAACTAGTATTGAGATACAGCCTTGGTCAGAAGCTAGAAGTAAATCATTTGTAATTTTAACTAGCGCAGTTTCTGTGCTATGATGCGGTCTGAATCCTGACTGAAATTTTTCAAATTTTAAATGGTTAACTTTTAAGGAATTAATTTGGTTAATTATTACTCAATCCTATTTTGTTAAATTTAATTAATAATATTGCTTGTAATCTGTTGCCTCATTTTAATTGATTAGATTTAACATATTCATTCGTTTTAATTTTTACAGTGTAGTAAGAGTAAAAAAAAAAAACACATTTAGAGAAAGAGATAGTAAAATAAATACAACACCTGGTTGCCACGGAAACACTGATGCACCTTGTGATCTCCGTGGCTCTCGCAATTGTCGTATTAAAGGTATTGTAGGTAGGAATTTTATAAAAAAACTTTTTTCCAAATTTGTTTAAACTTTCTGTATATATCAATGCATAATTAAAATGTAAGTACTCTGATAAAAAAAAGAGTATACAAATCGAACCTACAATACCTTTAATGACTTTTACATGAAAACGGAGGTGACTGGTGCTTCTCACGGTGGGGATTATTATTAGTCTACGGAAAGGAAAATGAAAGGAAAATGCCGTGAATCGTTACATCCCTATAAAACAGAAATAGTCCTACTTTGTAGTCGCTGTCGCGTTTGTCATATAGTTCTTTATGTTCCGACACCAACGAGACCGGCAGCTCTACATTCATCTTGCCTTGCATCTTCCTCGTCTTACTACTTCCCGGCAGTGTAGACGCTACTTGCCGTATATCTTCTTCGCCGTTACGTGTGTGTGCTCGGCAAGACCGTTTTGTGTTTGAGCGCCCCCAAGTTGTGTTTTACTATAACTTCAGAAGCTCCAGACATGTGAGCAAAAGCGCCAATCTCATTGGTCGGATAGTTTTTGACGTGGCGCGTCAAACCAAAAAAACGAACCCGAGGCGTTTTTTAAAAAAAGACGCTTTTACGCGTGGCGTTTTTCGTGTCGGTGTGCACACTCACATTGGCGCCTTTTGTTTAGTCACGAGGCGTTAAACGTCGGCGAATATCGCGCGTGAAATTCGTCCCTGTGTGAACAGGCCTTTAGCCCTAAGTTAGCCTGGGGGAAAGCGGTCTAATTTGTTGGTCTAAATTAAGTCAGTCTTTATTTTTGTGAAACGGTTTAACTTGCATTAGACTAGTCTATGAGCAAATTTTAGACTTGTCTAACACTATAGACCGGTCTAAAATAGCTCTGTGAAACCGGCCCCAGGGTATTGGGATAATCAGCGAGTATGAATTAGGAATGGGAACACATCATCTAGTCTTATTGTGGTTGACTAGTTTTTCTTTGCTATTTCTGTTTAATGCGTATTTTAAAGGTGAAGCAAGATTGTTTTTTTAATGTTAATTTAGTTTTTTTATTCTCTCAACCCAGCTTATTGTTCTTTGACTAATAATAGTATGCCATTCATGTGTTTCTCTCCCTTAAAAGTCCCAGGCATCATCAAAACTAGGGATGCACTGATATGAAAATACCGATAATGCTTTATATTTTTGAAAGCCGATAACCGATATTTTGGCCGATAAATCTAAATCCAAATTTTTATATAGTTTTTGAGAGCCTGATTACATGAACAAAAGTCTCACCATTTAAAGCCATGTCCCAAACACACAATTATAATGTTCTCATTAAAATCTTATGTAGCCGATATGACAGCACACTTTTTTTTGAAGTGATTCCAATCATATTTCAAGCTATTCAAAACCATCATGTTGAACAGTGCGCATCTGAAGGAAATAATACATTATTTATCATTATCAGCTTTAATATATATCGGCCAACTTCTCTTATCGAGCCGATAACCTTAAAAATGAACATATATCGGCCAATACCGATATGGTAGCCGATATATCGCGCATACATGATCAAAACATAGTGTCTGCTCAGATCTGTCAATCACTTCCAAGCTCAACCAATAGTGAGAGTTTGGGGGCGTGGCTACAGTAAGCAGGCGGAGCCAGAGGGTGACTGATGCGTTACATGGGAGACGTTATTCAGCTTCGGGTACAGGACCACAAGACAAAATTCACTGCATTTAGACCTTCAGAGATTAAACTGATCATGAACACGTCAAAATATAAAGATTTTGTCTCTTAAATTCATTCTCTCTGAAACACTGTTGCTATAGCCATCAAAGCACCGCTTCTGTAACAGATTCACCGCCTTTAACAATTAATTTCAGGACTTCAGATCCTCTGCTGTACAATCGGTCCTGAAATTAACTTATTATGCATTATCCATTTTTTTCAAGGACATTGAGAGTTTTGTGCAATAAATTCCAACGAATGATGGATCTGTCTCGAAAGGTTTTTCCGTTGAGAAAATCACTTTTTGCTTCCTGAAGCCCTTCTGCTGTGCTATAATAAACTAACTAAACGCCTGTATCTCTTTCTCTTCTCATCCTAGGCGAAGTCATGTATGTGTCACATGTGTGGAGCTCATTTAAATCGACTTCACTCCTGTCTCCATTGTGTGTTCTTCGGCTGTTTCAGCAAGAAACACATCCACGAGCACGCCAAAAACAAGAGACACAACCTAGGTAAGATGCACACGAGCGTAATCTTCACAAAGACTTACTCGTACGCATTTCAGCTTCTCGACGTCTAAGGTAAGACACACAGAACATATGAGCACGACTCGTGCGCAGAACACACAATCATGACTATTAAACTCAGAAACGATGAATAATGGACACAATCTCAACTCTGTCGGAAGCTTTTGGGATGAATATTTTAGGGTTTTATTCCCCCCGATGGTTCCGTTTTAATGGTTATATTTCAGTTATTATCATGTTTAATTAATTGATATGACATTTCTACAATTTACCAATGATTTGTTTAATGTTTTTATTAACCCTTATGTGCTGTTGGGGCTGTATTTTAGTCTTAATTTGGCCATAACTTTTTCCGTGTTTCAGCAAATGGAATGATTTTTGGTGACAAATCTTATTTTTACACATATTTTGGGAAAATGCTTTGAAAATTTTCACAAACTCAACAGTACACTCTGGGGAAATTCACTACCCTTTCGTTTAGTAGTAGTAAACATTTAGTAGTTTTGATCAGGACTGAGGTTGATTTAATAGATTTATGCAAAAAAATATTTATCTGATACATTTTTACAGCAGTTTAAAGTAGTGGCTGTTTTCAGCCACGAAGATAACGAAAGGGTAGTGAATTTGAACAATGCACAAGGGTTAAACATATTTTTTTTTTTTTTAGGGGCATACACAATCGTTTTTTATTTATTGTTATTAATTTAAATTTTTTTTTTTTTTTTTTTTCACTGGTTTCCATTTTAATGGTTGAATAAAATTGCATTAATCAAGGAGTGTGTAATTATTTGAAATCTTGGAAAATATACAATTAAACAGCAATTTATTTAATGTTTAACATTGAAACCTATTTTAATTTTCAAAAAAAATTATATCTTTTTTTTATTTTTTACTGAATTTCCTTTTTAAATGATTTAATCACATCTTAATAATCATAAAGCATGTCTAATCAATTTTAAAAATGTAATCAGTTTTTTCAGAAATTCTGTTTTATTATTGTCTTTTAATTTCTGTATTTATGATTTACAGTTAAGTTTAAAACATGGAAGAAACATTGTAATACTCCTTATTGAAAGGTTTATTTTAATTGTTGTTATTTAAGTACAGTACATTATACTGTACAACATTGGTAACCTTTTACAATAACTACTGTACATTAGTTAACAATACTTCTACAGCATTTATTAATCTTTATGCTAATTTCTACATTTACTAATGGATTTTTAAAATCCAAAATAGTTTAACACTAGTTAATGCACTGAACTACCATGAACCTGAACATTTGTTTAAACTAACATTAACAAGGGTTAATAAATGCTGTAAGAATATATTGCTCTGTTAATTCATGTTAGTTAACTAATTAGACCTTATTGTAAAGTGTTACAAATATATCTCTGTCATAATTTCTTCAAGTTAAACTTTATTTTTAACGGGGTTGTATTCATTAGTCATTAGTCTAGATTAAAATTTGATTTTTATCTATGTATTCATCCAACATTTGACAAATTCAGTGTTTTATAAGTTTCTACGGTAAATTCCATTCCTGTGACCGGGTCAAATCCGTCTGCGTTTTTTACATCACGGAAATCAATTAAATTAATAATTAATTAAATACCCCACCGTACTTGCACAAAAATCTAATTTCATTTCTGCCCCAAAAGTCATACAATTATTTGTCTGTTGTTTGTACTCGACAAGCAAGTGCACAAATGCGTGTGTGGATGTTCGGATGGGGTCTTGGAAATCTCCCAGTTCCTTAATGCATCGGTGGCATGTAATTATCCCCTCTGTGTTAATGAGGAGGGGCGCCACCCTCCAACAACAAACAAATAAGAGGCGCAAACAGACGGGAATTTGGGTAATTATAGTGTGCGAGGGGATAATAGTCCCTGACTCTGTGTGACTTGCAGTGTTTGCTCCCAGCGAGGGCTTAGAGTTCATCAACCACCTGTTTCAGAGGTTTGGGGTTTTTCCAAATCACCCTCGAGCTTCACACAATGAACTTAATTAATTTCTACCTAGAGATATGAAGCTGCCATCTTTTAGGATTTCCTCTTGTGTATTGAAAGAGGAAGAACCACCCATGATATACAACAACCAACTACAGTCAAACCAAACATTATTGAGACACCAGATATATATATATATATATATATATATATATATATATATATTTTGCAGGACACTATTGTTCATTTATGTGAGGAGAGCAAAATAAATAAAACTGGCATATTATACCCAAAAATTATTCATACAGTGACAACAATTATACAAATTTGGGACCGAAAATTATTCGGACACTTTGAGCTGATCAAAGTGTGTTTTCTGTAATTGCTAATGCTCTTTTTACACACACACTGAACAACATGAAGCATTGCTTGGTCACTGGTTGAGCTAAACTGGTATTATCTAATTGTGGAGTTAAATTTAACAGCTGACAGATATTCAACATAATTCATGTGTGAGAGTCTAACAGAAGGACGGACAAAACCAGTCAAATATCAACTGAGTTCTGCTCATATTTATTAACATTTTCTATAGTGAATAAACTGATAATGTTAGAAATGTTGAAGGTGTCTGAATAAACTTTGGTTTGACTGTATCTAGGCTAACTGGAGAACGTTGCTTGTGGGTTACTCCCAATACAAATCATTTTCTTCAATCTACAACAATTTACTGTATTTAAATTATTTAAAATAATGTAGGTTTTCAGACCGATTACTAATGGATTATTTGTTTGTTAAAGTAGGTAGTGTGCCTTGTAGTCCGATCAAGGTCGTTTGTTCGACGGCAACAAAAGCGTTCTGTCCTGACACCATATGCTTTTGAACCAAAAGTTTCTGCTCTAAAACATATTAAAACATTTATGTTCTAAAGTAGGCCAGAAAAGTTATTTAGAAAAATCCGAAATTAGCTTTATTTTTCGAGAAGGAGAGCATGAACATCTCTGTCTGTAACGCAGTTGGCCAGTCTTTGTCACAGATGGCCTGAACAGTCAATAAAGAAGCTTAAATCGGAGAGGGGAACATGGCTGTACTGACTCAAAGTGTGGTACTGTTGGACTTTGTCGTCCATTTAAGGCTCTTGATGTCCCTGATTATTAGAATGGGTTTCTTGAACAAATCCAAGTTCTTTACAATAGTTCAAAAGTTGCAATAAACATGAAATGGCGACAGATTCCTCCTTATTGTGAAGCTCGGATTATCAGCAAAAAACTAATTAGCATAATGCCAGCGTCTGGTGTTGATTGGCTGAGCAGCGTCTCTTAGCTCCGCCCTCAAACACTGTAGTGTATCTGAGACTGGGAGAGTTCGGTTCGTGTTGTTCGTGTCGAGAAGACGCTGTTTTCTGCTGACAAAGCAAATCCACTTTGATGAGATCGATACGGTAAAACCCACGCCATCGTTACTGTTCGTATCACTGTGTGTCAAGAGCTGAGATTCACATATGATAATGAGCGTTTGGTTTCTGACCAATCACAGCAGAGCAGCTTTCAGAGGGGCGGGGTTTAGAGAGACTGAATTCTTGATCGACCCGTTTCAGACACTGAGAGAAAAGAGCTGATGCTGCAATGTGTATTATGAGAAAATAGGGAGTGGCCAGGCTTTGGTGCGCTAGTCCGTGTGTCGCGGGGCTGAACGGACCGTGACACATAAAGCTGAGCTGAGGTACACACGAAAGGAAAATTATCGGGTAAAATGTGCCGGCATATCCCCGGTGTTAAGTCAGCAGTTGCTATGAATGTACAAACTGTTGAGGGCGAAGTAAAGAAAAAGACAACGTACTTTTCGAACAAGTGGCGCATTGATGACCGAGGGAATGGTTAGCCTACCTTCCCGACGACCAGTCCATGGCTACTTACTGTCGAACCTACACGTCGTCAGAAAATGCAAACAATTCTTTCGTTAGAGGAACTACAATTACTGTAGAATATGACCAAACACAATTTCACCATGGTCTCTCAGGCTTTTTTTTCACATCACTTTTTATTTGCCTTTATTAATAAAATATGCGTTTATAATAATGATAAAAAATGATGTATTGAAGCAATTCAAAATATGCTAGTGCACTTTCTTTTATAAATTTTAATTCTGGAAAAAATTGCTGGTAAAATTGGGCATCCACCAGCCACAAAGTTAATTTCCCAGCCTGATGGCCTCTAACCTGACTTATGTTTTTTTTGGAATTACTAACTTTTTATTTTAGTTAGTTTTAGTCATTTTGTTGTGTGTTTTTGCCCACCGATCCGAGTCCCTTGCCGCTGGTCCAGTGTGATTTGTTTTACTCCAGGTGAGGATTTATCACTCATCCCGCTGCATCCGCAGTGTCATGTCCCCACCGAGGCGAAACCGAGCGCTTGCTGTGTTTCCCAGGTGGCGTCGAGGCGGCGCTCAGTCTCTACACCCCGCGTTCCCCTCGGAGTTTGATTGAACATTTAATTAGGTTAGTCTCCGTACATGGGATATCTGTGAATGAGCGCGCCGTTCCCGAGGAGGGAAACTGTGATTATTCTCCAAAGACGAAACGGGGAGTAATTAAGTCTGAATGAGCCACCGATTCTTCTCTGTTGTTGCAATTTATTTAAATTGCGTTTTGTTTTTTCGCCCTCGATTTGCCGTGGCTGTTTTGTCGGCTCACACTTTGTCAGGCTTGATCTCGGTGTGCTTTCCTCTTTTTCCTGTGCTGGTTCCCATGGTTACCTGAAGGCCTGCTATGCTTTTGGTTTATTCATCTGATGTGTGTGTGTGTGTGTGTCATGCAACCCCACCTCATTCTCTTGTGCAACTTCTCTCTTATGAAAAATACTGTTTAAAGCTATCATGCATGACTCACAGTATTTTACATTTTGATGGTTTAAAAAATACATTTAATTAAATTTCGTTTATTCGGATTGTTGTGCTCATAAACGTAATGACAAAATTATTTACCTTCTCTCTCACTTCATACAGACCCATAACTCTGCCCATTTATAATGCTGATTTGTT